GAAACGTATTTTGGTTTTGTATTTGTGCAGCAAAACTGTAAACAAAGGATGTAAGAAATGTCAACGAAAACACCAACAGTCGGTGTGAACAGCCTTCAGCCCACAATCCCAAAACTCGTTTTCAAGGTGTTTTCGTTGTCGGTCAGAACATTGTATAAATTTCAATCAGAAATTACAGAAGCCACTAACGCTCTTAGGCCGAATAGAAGCCCATAGTATGGTGAAATATGTAAATCCCTTAATAAATCATTCCGCTTTGTACAGAACTTTTGACGGCTCGATTTTCGTACGATCACTCAATTGACTGATTTTCTAGCAAAAGATGAAGCAAAATTTAAGATTATACACATTCTAAGTTTCACTCCTTTTTTTGTTTTTTTTTTGGGTGACGTGCAATAATGTTAATGGAATTGACATAAATTCACTTTTGTAGGGGAATTAATGTCAATGTTATTAGCACACAGGCCAAAAGTGAGTTAATAGTTCTTTTCGATATGCAAAAACTTGTACAAGCTTGGAAAAGTTGTTACCGAATCGCGTTCGTTTGGACAAAAAAACTTGCAAAACTTGCAAGGAGAGAGCACAATTTTGACATTTCATTTGGAGGGGAAGTTGCAAATTCGTGCTGGGAAAAATTTTCTTAGGATCCCTGGAGTACCAATTTAAAATCCCGAAATCCCAGGATTCACAAAATGGTCCGGGATTGCATGCCTTAATATCAAGCAACTTTGATGGACCTTCAACAAGTAATGCGTCTTATAAGCAACCTAGAAATAATTTTAGATTCCTCCAACGAAAGCGAAGGATCGGATGTAGAATCTGGAGACATTAAGAAATGTGAAATTAAAGCTCAATTGAAGGTTTATTTTAAAGAAAAACGAGCTCATCTGGGTGAAAATCCTCTCGATTGGTGGAAAACTAAACTAAAATACGACAAATTGACAAATCTGGCACGCATATATTTGAGCGTTCCGCTCCGCCAGCGTTCCAAGTGAGCAATTTTTCAGTGCAGCTGGTCTTATATACGAGCCTCTAAGAAATCGCCACATGGGAGAAAAGCCAGCAAACTTACTTTTTTTGAAACACAATATTCCCCTTTTAAACTTTGACTACTAGATTAAAACACTGTATAGGTTAAGCACTCGTTCAACGTTCTAATAACTCTGGTTTACAGCAAAAATGTAAAATGGATGCCACTATCCAATTTCTATGTAGAAATTCCGAAATTCGAGTTAATTTTTATTTCTATGGATACGTTTTCGAGATAAATGCAATTTACCGTTATTCAGCTTAAAACAAAAAGTGGTTCCACTTAATCACGTATATCTTACGAACCAATTTAATACTGTGTCTCCATTATGAGATTTAATGCAGATTTAGCCCTCTGACGGGATTTTACGTTAAATCTTTTGAGATTTACCGTATAAAATTAAATCTCGAAAGGCAGTAGGTTTAAGTTAAATCCTCAATAATACCGATCAATAAATACAATTTGTTTGGTGTGGCAACCACAAATTCACATGCCATAAGTCAAATGACATTTGTATTTTTAATATACAGTTGCGAACATTGATATCCAGCCTATGAAAAAGCATGAATTTTCGAATTTTTAGACTTTTGTACTTTGGTTAGTTTTAAAGGCAAATTATTAATATTTACATAACTTTGGTTGTAAGAAATTTAGAAGGCATTAGCTGTATTTTTTACATGCATATACATCTACGCAAAACAATCATCGGCAATTTCCATTTCAAAACAAGTAATTTTTATTTTATCGACAACTATTCATAAACGCACATAAAGTTTGTCGCTTAGAGCTCCATACAATTTTTAAGCTCAGATACGTGTGCGTGTAAAAAAAAATACGCCTATTATTTTAAAAACTAAAAATTCAGAAAAAAATTTTTATGATAATATCATGCAGTCTTCTCCGCTTTCTATAAATCTAGATAAATAACATTGCACCAAACATCCTCTAGAACTCAATGCGACTCAAGAAGTGCATCGGCAGTCATATTTACTAACTAGGTTTTCATGATATGCCAAGGGCCCACTATTTGATTTTGAAAACAGAGTTTATTTCCCCAACAGCCCTTTAAAAATTTTTCTTTCCGCACCATTTTGATAATTTTTCCTAAATTCAGGAAAATGATTAAGATTAAGGTACCATTAGTTACATTTTCCAAAATATATTATACATATTTACCACGAATAAAAATTCACATAATGAAATTCCGCTCTGGTACTTTCCTTTTACCTGTCTGTATTTCAATGTCAACAACTGCATTTATACAATCATACATAACGTCGCCTGGGTAAAAGATTGTAGTATGTTAATTTCGGCAGGTTGTGGGAAATCGCGATTAAGTTTGGAATGCAATTTCTCAAAATGCGAAGATAGATTTTCTCCAAAATCTCTGAAAATGTTACTAGTTCAATAAATTCTCAAATTATTTAATTTTTAATGTTTATTGTTAATTAGTTTTGAGTTTATGAAGGATTTTCTTTAGTAAAATTTTGTCGTAAGCTTCCTTTGTCCACAATTTGGCAGTCACATTGTATGAAATACGGCAAAATGTGACCAAAATTTCTACCAAATTAACGACACTTTTTACTCAATATCTCGGTGATATCCAAACATAAAGAACGCCATTTTTAAGATATTGACTAGTTTAATATGACTGCATCACTAACTAAATTTTTACTGAATTATCGAAAAAGTTGAAGTCAATATCTCCGAAACTAAAGGAGATATCTAAAATCTGATAGCAAGAATCGAAAGACCTTATTTCAAAATATATAACTGCATCTAGAAATAAAAATCGTCAAAATGGCGCTTACGACAATCTTTTATCCAGGCGATGATAAGCAAACGTCAAATATTTAAAAATGTGAACGTCAAATATATCTCGCTGTGGCAATGGAGACGGTTGTGATCTATCAACTGGATTTATTAAATCTTAATGGATAAATCTCTTAATGGAGACATAGTATAACAATCTTAAAATGAGATACGGCAAATGAAAGCTAATAAAATGAGCAAAGATTTATTATATGAAAAATGAGCATAAAAGCGTGCTACTTAGGTGTACATGGCGTATGGGTATTTCCTGCTCATTTTTCATATAAAAAATCATTGCGTGTTTTCATTTGACCACTCATTATTTCTTTATTTATCGATCGATTTTCTTCATTAGTGACTTGATTTCATTGTAACAGAACACAGAGCCGGTTATTTTTTAAATTTTTATTATTTTACAGTTTATTTTTATTTTTATTTTTTTATAACAAAATTAAAAAAAAAACTGGAATGATTATTTGATTTGTCAGTAACTATCAGTCGTATCGGAAAGTGATGTATACATGGTTTATGGAGAAATTTTTTAGCGTTCATTTCAATTCTTTTAGTCGTTATTTGAAAAGAATTTTCCTTAATTCAGTAGAATACAAAAGAAACAGTGGCCGGAGCTCTTTTGTCTCAGGAGGAAGAACATGCTTCAGCTAACAGTTGCATTAATATTCAAAGGAGATTGCAGTTCTGATCTATTTAGCTTGTGAAAAATTTCCGCAGCAACCAAGACGCATTTAAAAGCGCTTTAATAATTATGGAAGAAGAGCTTGGGCTAAGTGTAAAATCAACGGTAGATTGATGGCAGTTTTGAGGTTTTTTACAGAAGAAAGCTACCAACATGGTATTGGGGAAAGATTTTAATGTGGGGTTGGCGCAATCCACGTCCTCAAAAACATTAACAAAAACTTTAAACATTTTCGAAAGCCCCGAGCAATGACCGGCCTTTCGTTCATGCATTCCACCATTTTCTCGCATTGCGACCGATTTGTTGTGATGTTCGACCTGATATGTTGGAAATATTTAATAATAATCAATTTTTTACAACGCTTTTATCAACTTGCAATATTGTGTGTCCAGACATTTGCAATGTTGTGTGTCCAGACAACTAAAAAACCTCTGCTTTGCAAAGTTCCTATAAAGTCTAGACATCAACCTCGTCGGTTGAGAGGTAGATGTCGCCCTATGCACTACGTACGCTAAAGCGGAAATGGACGGTACGCCATTTCTTTAAATGAAATTAATTGGTGCTCGTATGTATGTATGTATGTACATACATATGTATAAGCATGTGTGTGCACCAATCTATTAATATCGTTAAATCGTTTTAATATCTATTGCAAAATTTCATACAGACAAGACTAAAAAGTAGCAAATAGATAAAATAAAATAAAAACTTATTAATATGCCACGCTTTTATAAATGGAATAAAATGTAGAAAATAATATTTATCAGTCCCATAGAAATTGTTTTGATAACTTTTGATTTTGAAATTTTAGCAAAAGTCATTATAAACATGTAATAGACCTGAATTGATATGAAAAGTAATATATATATGTACATATGTGGGTATATGAATAACGATCGCTTAAAATCGATCTCAAATTGTGTACTTCCGCTGTAGAAATTTTAGGTCTATGTTATGTAGTTTGACTATCGTCAATTAAATCTAATTATTTGTAATGCATGCGCTCCACGTTTTTCGTGTTGTTTGTAATATCTTTTGCTAAAATTTCAAAATCAAAAGTTATCAAAACAAATTCTAGGAGACAGAGAAATATTATTTTCTACTTTTTAGTCCATTTATAAAAGCGTTGTATATTAAAAGTTTTTTTTTATTTTATTTTCTATTCACGCTTTAACTTACATATTTTTGCGTTTCACACTCTATTTTATTGATATTTTAAATCAATTTATTTTGCTGTGATACCAGTTGCTGTTCGTACAAAATTTCCGACAAATACATAAAAATGACAGCTACGTCGGATTCAGGCATACCAACACTACGAATTTCAGCATAGGGGTGATAAATTCGCAAAGAATTTAGTTTTTTTTTTTTTAAATTTTTAGCTAACTCTTTAGTAAACTTTGAAATCTAAAATACTTAATGTCTTTGATAGGACATATTAAAATATCAAATAAAAACACTTACCGCCACTGGTAGACAAAGCTCAGGCAGATGAGTTTTACTCTCTATGCGCTCCATAATCCATAGTAAATTCCAGTAAATAATGGGATGTTCCTCCACAAACGAAGGTTTTACTAGCGCAATATCACCTTCCTGAGTAAGTATGTTCTCGAGCTCTTTCCGCAAAACCAACGGATTTAGATAGGGAATTGTCAGGCTGTCTGATTGTTTGAGCGCCTTCAAGGAATCGTCGACAACAATTTGTACACTCAGGAATGGCACGGTTAATTTATAGCATGCGTGGCAGGTTGTATTCAAGTTAGAGTCCTCCGCTGACCAACCGGACATAATGTCCTCATCATACAACAGCACCGAACAGTTGTGGCATTGCGAACAGGAGGTAATTTGTATGAGTACATCACACTCGGGACGTTCCTCTAACTGCAATTTCAAAACAACATGAGTCTATTTCATTAGGAGAAGATGCAAATGCTGAAATAAAAAGCAGAGAACTCACATCCGCTATGGGTGAGTACAAATTTTCTGGCAGCACGGGAAATGCGCTCAAATTCAAAGCCGAGGTATTTTCACCCAACGGTACTAAATTATTGTAGCTTGACTTGCGCGATTCACTCAGACGTCCCCATGGATCCAAGTCACTGGAGACGCGGCGCATTTTCAGCATGCCATCTTCGTGGGTAATTACATCCTCATCACCAGTCTCAGTATTCCCAACACTGCCGGGTGTTTTCACCGGTGTCGTTTGGGCTGAGAGCGCGCCTTTAATCTCATCAAATTTTCGAGTCAGCGAATTAGCCGCATATTTTATGCTACTCAGGCTACCTTGAATGATCTCATTCGATTTTTTACCCGTTAAACTGGGACTGAAAAAGTTTAGCAAGCAATAATATTGAATGATTTTTATATGCAAAATGAAAATATATATAAAGAATAGGAAGCGTGTATAAAAATTTGGAGCAAAGTGCAAATGGTTTAGTAAAAAGATATGGTGTTGGTTATTAAAAAACATTAACTATACAATTAATATAAAAAATTTTAACATTAACAAAAAAGCTACTGACAAATAAAGCTAACAAACAATGAGGTCTGCAAAGGAAGAGAGTGTTAACACCGTCAGTTTTTAGGAAATTGACATTCACATAAGATGATTAAAAAAGAGAGTAGTGTATGATTAGAGCAATGGAGGCTTAAGCGATGTGAAAATGAAGGGTGTAACAACAAATTATGTAATTAGTAATAATAAAAGTATTCTCAGCTGTGCTTTTAAGTATATATATGTTAACTTTCAAACTTTTGGCTTTAAAACAGTGGTCGGCGGCGGTGTGACCGCGGGCTAAAGTATCAAAATATCAATATGGAATGAAACCAATAATTTTTATGAAAAACCATTTTCCAAAACAATTTAACATTTATTGATTGTAAAAAATATCAGTTGTATTGGTAAAGAAAATGTCTTACAC